ATCATCTCATTTGCTCGACAGCGCTCATTTCAATGCACTTTTCAACCCTTAATGAAATTTTCAACCCTTGATGAAATTTTCAGGAAGCGGTGGTACTTGTATCAAGAAGATCTGTTCTATGTTCTATGAACTGTACCATATTACCTCTAAAAATCATGTTCTCAATCATGCTTTATAATTCATTTATTTGATGTGCGTTTGCCCAACTGCTCTGCAGTCATGTGAAATAACCGTGCAGCTGGAATGGTTCTTGAAAAAATTTTCAATTTTTAATATTTTAATTATCATATTCTCATTATTATCTTTAGCAGTATCTATAGAATTATATGGTAAAATTATTAATATTGTTACCTGGTCATTACGAATTAACGAGGCTCAAAATTCATCCGAATCAGCTAAAAGGGTCCATTTATTATAGAATCCCTGAAAGCACGAATGTTTTGAGTAATGATGACAATAACGATCATGAGGATGTTTAATGATACTGACAACAATGGAGATGATGATTTTTAATGAGGATGATGAGTTGATGGTTCAGTGGAATTCAATTCGAGTCTTAATAATTCTATTGCTGACCATTTCATTTCATCGTTCTATTGCTTTATTAATCTGAATGTATAACGCCATTATGGGCGTTTACGTATGAATAATTTTCACTGATTTCATATCTCCATATCCGTTCCTCCGAAAATCGCAACTGGAAAGCTTTATAATCCACTATAAATCTTCAGGAAGTGTTTCTTTTTTCTTGGCTCCAACTTTTCTGGAGAAAGGCGAACAAAGCTGCCGGATGTAAAGATAATCATTCAGACAATGAAAGCCAAAAACCATTGCTAGGCAACTGGATCAGATCCGTGACCGTTCCGATGTTGCATCTAACGCTATCCCGACTGAGTTATGATTTGTGACAAGGACTGATTCCGATCCAAATATCAAAACTTCCCATCCATCATTTTGCATTTTGCAGCCGCTTCTATTAGTTAATGACTTGCAGCAGATTTTTTCCAGATTTAATTCCCTCGGTCATTCTAAATTACTTCAATAGTTTCTTCTTCCTATCGAGTTTGCCTCTCAGTTGGTCGGCGGTTCAACTGTCGCTGTTTATTCGATGAGTTCCAAGCGTTGATCGTTTTCTGCACCTTTGACACCTGCTACTGAAAGTGACCAATTTCAGGTACAAAGCGGTGTTTTTGGTTGAAGTTTTAGCAGGGATAATTTGACGCGATTGTCAATGGATTGCACACAAAAAGTTGAGGCAGCTGAGCATCCACTTTTTATACCATGCTTGGCCGTGCGTGCAGTACTTGCGATTATCGGTCTTATTGCTGTGACTGTTATCGCTCTGCACGAGGTTAGGTGCCTATCCGTCAGTCGCTTCGATTCATGAGCCTCCACATTCGCGAAAAGATACAAAACCAAACAGTGTACCTATGTCAAGGCACAAATCTGACCATTCTATTAGAGAATTTAGACAACCCAAAGCAGCTATTTAGTAATGTTTGCTCACGACAAGTAATACTCAGAAAGACCGTCCAAGGTCATGACCAGCTGTCAACCATCAAATAATCGTTGCAGTTGTGGGTACTTGCAGATTCTAGCTTATCTACACCATTCTAATTTGTCCATTTTTCCAGTTGAAATTCAAACGATTCCATCCAAACGCTTGCATTGTATTGTTAACGCATTACGCCTTTGTATGGATCTCCGCCATCGGCTATTTGATCTATTCAATATATGAAATACACTACTTTGGCACATTTGATCAGAGTTGCAGAATTTCGCAGAGACTACAGGTTGGATTTATTCATTTGATGGGGAGCATGAGGGCGAGTGAAAGGGAAAAGAATATGTGATTAGCATTGAAAGAGAAACAGTTTTGCATCCTCACAAAAGAGTCAATGCATTTCATCCGGGCGATGTTTGAGTTTATAATCAAGCAAATATGGCAGAGCAATGAGTTCGTTAAGTCACTGAAGTTTGTGAAGGGTTTCAACGTTTCATATTGGCCCGAATTTCTGTTCGAAAACAACGGATTATCGACTGGTCTATTCGATCAGACAGTATAATTTTGTTTCACTAATAAAACGATTTGGTTAAATAATTCTGAAGAGCATTGAAAATTTAATTACCGAAAAAAATTGATATACATAATTGCACAAACAAATTTTTTTCACATAATGAAGCCGATTTTCATGCAACGTACGAATATTATACAACGACGACCAGTTTTTGCACGAATGAAATGAAAGTCTGAAAATCAGAACGATTTGGTCGTTCTCATGAAGATTCCGATCTGAATGTATGTTTGAAATCACGCGTCAGGCTTACAAAAATGCTCTGGTTGTTACTCATTGCAATCGTCACTTTGAATCATTCATGTACGATTGAAAACGGAAACGAAGCAGTCAAGCATTTGCTCTATCGAGTGATAATTTGGAGTCATAAGGAGTGATTTGAAAAGGATAGCCCGTCTTGAGACAACCAAATTAATGAGTCATATTGTACGCTCTCATCTGTTCAATCATGGAATATCACACAGCCACATGAGTAATTTCATTAACTACGCTAAAAAGAAAGCATCAGGAAAATATTATCAATGTGTTGTGTTCGTCATTATTGCAATCGAATATGACTGCATGAAAAGCTATTGTCTATGACACTTGAAACTGTTTTGCATGCATTCTCATTCTTTACAGACGTGTTGTATTCGCTCTCATAGCTATCACATGCGAANATCGTTCTATTGATTTGTTTTTATCATTCTCTTCGACTCAATTTCACTTCACAGTTCAAATCAACTTCTCATTCTGTAGCATATACTCTTTATTGGATGCGTTGACGAGTGTTGACAACCGAAATCAACAATGCAACAATAGAATTGAATTGCCGAACAACATTCGACAGTCAAATGATCAATTATAGAGTGCATTTGATAGAATGAGAATTTGACTTAAACTGTTGAGTGAAATGAATGAGAAATTAGCAGAAGAGAACACTTTCTGTGATAAAAGTTATGAGAGCGATTGGAACAGTTCGGAAAAGAATGAAAATCCTGTTAAAACGAATGAAACTCCTGTCAGGCCCTTAGAAGATAATGATACTCAGAAAATAGGAGAATGAGAGTGTTGCCATCAGCTAACCGCATTTACATACCTCATTTAAAAAAGGGCTCAGAGAATTCTTCTTATGAATGTTGACCAGAAGCGTGAATAATCAATCTGTACGTTTGTTGCATTCATGCTCAGGAATGTTGCTCATCCCTGAAGAGGACAAGTAAATACATGGTATTTATCACTATATTCGGCAATAATGGATCAATTTTGACGTTTGCTGGTCTGGCAGTGGAGCGATTAAGGTCTACGCTGGGCGCAAAAAACTATGAGAACAAACGTAGCCATTTTGGGCCTGCCATTGCGGTTGTATGCGTAAGTCTTGACCTATTTGGCCAAAAATACACCGCGGAATTTCCTGGCTAGCCTTTTTTCACCTGAAAACGACCGTTGAAATTACCAGAAAACCCACTTAAAAGTTAGAGTCTTCCGCTGTAAAAATCAAAGTGTCTTTCAGTTAGTCCTGGATNCCGAAAAGTCTGAACTGGATGATGCTAAACTCAAGCGTCGTCTCAAGCTAACACCTAGCTTGTACTTCAACCTCACGTTTGCTATTGTGCTTGAGCTCGGGTCACGAAACATCAAAACGAGGTGAAACAATGAAAGTAATTAGTGCTAAAATTTTATCGCAACAAGCCTAATGTTGATATTTAAAATTGCTGGATATATGCTGCTCATTTTTCGGCTTTAACATTCCGAGAATCAATCTAAATTATATGCCAGGTACTTTTCCTGATGGCCGGAGTTGAGCTCTTGACTATAATGACGTTATCGTTTTCGTATGCATTCAATGTGCTATGGAAGAAAAATGGAATGCATCTTCATGCAACTCTTTCTCAAAAATATCAGGTATGCTGTGCCCATCTTCCGAACGACTGACGTTTTCAAGGAGATCTGATCCTCTTAACGAGGACCGTTATGTCATTATGATCACTTGATATTCTCAGCAAGTGATCATGCTAATAAAAGAGTTCGCCGAACGTCGCTACTAAAGAACATTGAAAAATAAAGTTTATGGTTTGACTCTTCAGCGAATCGTTGAAAAGCGTTAACCTGTTAGCGAGAATTATTGCTTCTGATGTTTGAACAATTAAAAAAAAACTCGTCTAGAACAATTCAACACGTCAAACTACTGATATTTAGAAGAGCCTATTAACTGCCATTGAAACGACCAGTTCATTAAACCAGTAGCATGCAGTTAGATCTTTGAACGATGAATAATCTGGTTTCAGGTTGAGGAAAATATACGATGCATTCGGTTGCTGATTCCGATGGCTATTGCACAAGCCGTGTGCAATTTGAGCACATGCATTGTGCTACCAGTCTCTTGGATTGTTTTCGAGAAGAACCGTCTACCAAGTCATTATTTCGACTATGTGCCACTATATAATGTGCTCTTACCTGCCATACATGTCGTTCTTTTCAAGTTTCAAAAGTTAGTTCAATATTTAATTCAATATCACTATTTAGTAATGTATTAATTTGTAGAATTAGTTGATTATCACTTCGTTGGTTCAGTTCATTTCTTTAATTAGTCATTCTCAGTTTCAGAAAGAAGCAAATGCAACGCACTCAAGTGATAGCTGCGGCAGGCACCAATTCCAATATGACGCATTTTCAGATTTTAGGACAAATTTTCGAAAATGGTGTCAATCAAGTCAAACCCGCATGGCAAGAACGCAAATAATCAGCTCTGAACAGGTGGAGGGAGGCTTGTGGATCATTTAAATAGATACAATAGGTGTTTCATGTTTTTGTGGAAATATTTCTTGATATGGATAGATCGGAGTCACTCAATTGGGAACTATACAAGGCGACCAGATACTTGATTTTATCAGATCTTGGAGATGATCTGCTGACGATGGAGAACGGTGGTGATCTAAGTGATGAAAGGAGTGAATTTGGACAATGCTGATATCGTTCATTCTTCACTTATTATCTACACCATATCAAAAGACACTATTAGTCAACAAATTCGTCCGTTGTGATCAGTCGATACTTTCGCTGTCCAATGCAATGTCGCTTTTATTTATTTTCGATCACCAAAATAGATCAATACTCAGGCATTGAAGCGCAGGCACTGGTGCACTGCAATCTGACTACTTTTCATCTTATTCTTCATTTTCGTGCAATGAATTTGTTTGCGACTGGTTGTGTTATCGTCATGAGCAATGTTTCGTTTCCGTCAACTTCTCGTCAATGTTTCAATTTGCATAAAAATTTCTTCAGTTATTTTAATCGCCAACTTCTTGATTCATCGTAATTTCTTATTTATTTCACCGATCACTTGAGGGTTACCTCACTGATTATATGTCCACTGAATTAAGAACAGCGGTCAGGGCGATATGAAGTTTGAATCGAACTGACGAAATCGCTGATAATATTGAATAGGATTCCAGAGGCACATTGTGTCAAGATCAGAAATTCTTTGATGGAACCTATTTTAGTCATTGTGACAACTGAGATAGTATATACTATTGGTAGGATTCATAGTAATTATGGTCATAGGTAGTTCCCGACAGGTAGTCGTTGCTAGTGCATAGTGATGATGGTTGTGAAGATTGTTGATTTCTGGTTGCGACTGAATCTAGAAAGAAATATGGATTATCATGTACGCGTCTAAACAATTTTATAATATTGTTGATTGAATTCGACTATTATTATATTTCATAATCGCGTTTCAAATATGCCTCAATGCATTGTCATCACCATACAGTAATACTAGGACTCTTAGCTTAATAGGATGGTTATGAGGGATTTATGTGAATTACTTCAGAGAAAAATAATTAAGGGGGCATCAAATAGGTGATAGATTCATACTTCATTATTAAGCAAAAGATTTACTGTGATGGATTTAAATGGACCAGTTCATGCTGAAATAACTCGGTTAGATACCTTATCGATACGTAGTGGGTTGCAAATGATTTGTTGTCCTATGGAATATTTCACCAAACAGGTGGCAGGTGGGAATAGCAGGTGGCTTGAGGGATCCGCCATCTCGGATCCAAACGCTTTGAGAAGCTAATAAGAAAATCATAAGAGTGATATATTTAAAGGTGACATCTTATTAGAGGGATTGTTTTTGAAATGAGAATGTATGCTGGATCTACTTATTTTTCTCATCCCTGCTTCTTATTTTGTTCTGGGATGTAACGCAGACGAATTCAGTTTACAATAGCTGGCTGATGTTGAAGGGGACAGCAATAGCTGTCGATGTGGGGATCATATCTTGAAGCGTCTACAGGACAGCCAGAATTTGATGACAGGGAATATACAATTCATAAATTCTATGATACCTCAAGAAATGACTTTGCGTTTAATGAGCATTTCCTTCATGAAACGCAATGCTGAGGCAGTGTGACAACTGAGACAGTATGTCCTATTTGATGCTGAAACCACTAGACACACCTACAGTAGAAACAACCAATCATAATCGCAGTTTACGATATTACCATATAACTCGCTCGTTGAAGACTATTGTGAACAAATAGACAATAAATCGCTCGCGAAGAAACCAAGAAAACGGAATATAACTTAAAATCAATATAAAATATTTGTCTTTTAAATGAGTTATCCGCTAGCTGCCAAGGAATAATTTGCATTTCTGCAATAATTTCCTATGTTGTCAATGTTTATTTTTGATAATGCGACGAATTTGCTGTACAGGCTTGATATTTTCTATGTTCAAATCGATACACTATTGGAAATGAGATATACATCTCTCCAGAGCGTTTTTTGTCTTGTCCAAGAAATAATCACATAAAGTGATGGATAAGTTCTGCACTCCTCAGTTCTGGAACAAAATTATTCCGAATGCTCTTGAACTAGTTATCCTTCAGAGCCTGAAGCGAATTCGCCACTGGATTTAAAAATGCGCAGCGCATTTGATCCAGAATCACTCCATGTAGTTGATGTGTTCTGGCGATAATCTCCTCAGTTTAAACATAATGTTGTATTTGATGATTATTGTGAAATCCAACAAGAACTTTGCTTTGATATCTGAAATATTGCCTGTTCAACTTATGATATATCGCCTAAATGTATGCTTAAAAAGTCTACGATACTGATGGATTGATGCATCTCAATTGTTTCTGATGCCAATCTACAGTTGTTAATTCTTTGATTTGTGTTACAATCGAGTAATTGCTATCAAATGTCTAATCGTATATTTTATCGTTCCGTCAATTCATGTTTGCAAATACGTAAACAACTGATGTACTCTGAAGTGGAATCTGTAACCCCGAAGTGAATTGAATAGCATTGAAGTCGAGATTTATTCTGTTAATCTCCAAAATGACCCAAAACTGGTACGGAAATAATGGACTTTTACCAGTGAGAAGGTAAATTGAACTCGGGATATTATTAGGCAAATAATCCACTTCAGAGATCAGTTCGCATATTATGTAAATTAGACATCAACGAATAAGTTGATGGCTAACTTTATGATGTATTGAAAATGCATAGAACCCATGGTTATATGTTATCAAATTTGTAATACCAAATGATCATAGAATTGTATCTTGGCTGTCCTCGATATGAATCAACTATAAATTCAATTATTTCATTCATCATCACTTCCTGATGATATATTGATGCGTTATCATCCGTATCGGAATCACTTCATCCGGCCGGCAGTACGTTACCATTGATGTGAGAATCGCATTGTCCATCAATGACCGTCAAATTCCAAGACGGTAATTAAAGTGTCCGTCTGACTATGTTACTGAAATACGTGTTTATAGAATGGAAAGTGACCTCAATGTGAAAAGAGCAAAATTTCTCAGCAGCTCTCATCGTTAAAGCCTACTTTCAAACCTACTGGCTCCATTGCCCAATTACATTTTGCCTAATGGCTATTGGGCAATCCTTTCATTATTGTTATTATTACAGGAGCTATCAGACATTATACCATGTCTGCTCCTTGATGATAGATCCCACAAAAACTTCTTAATGATGCATTTTGGGATCCATACTCAAAATTGATGGAGAGGTCATAGGGCGGTATGCCAGCCTCTCGGGGTTTTCCAGTTATATTATTACCACCACCGGGGTATTCAGCCAAACAGCGGCTGAATAATGGCATTGATGAGAGATTGCTTGCTGAAGAAATAGTCTCATAATCACTACGGTCACCATTCCATCGTCACTTGTTACTAGTATATTGCAACAAACGCAACTACTATTCCACAAATGGAATCAGAATAAAGTGGAACAAACCAATCACCTTGTTGGAAGCCCATTTGACGGAGAAATTTGAAGAGGAAATCCTTGAAATCTATGATAAACCAGAAAACCTTCCGAAGTTCGAACACTGAATCATCGAGATTAAATTCGATTGGTAGAAAATCATTTGGAGGTCCATACTTCCCTCCTTACACTCAATGGTAACAGTCAGCAATCTACCAAAACAAAGGAGCCAATCGTCAAACGTCCGATCGGAAACAGCAATTCCAACGAAGATCTTCAAGAATCTCTTTATTAAATAAAGCCCGAAGAAAAAAAAGAAAAAAAAGAAAAAATAATAAAAAAAATAAAATAAATAAACAAAATAAAAAAATAAAATGAAAGAAATATANATATAAAAGAAAATGATAATTTGAAAAAAAAATTAAAAGAACTAAAAAATAAAATATCATTAAAGCAATAATGAATTTGAATGTTTCTATGTTGTGTGATCCGCATTATTTTGTATTATTTCGACCATGTAATTGTATTGCTGTTCAAATTGCTTGCTTTTTTCAATAATTTGTTTCCTATTATAGAAATACTTCAATTTATGTTTTTGTCATTACCATCTAATGTAAGTGCAATCTATTTTATTCGCATCATCTCTGTAATTTTGAGGACTGAATCTTTTTCTAAATGATATCTTCCACTGGCAGCTAGCGTAATTTCCAACCCATTCTAATGCTCAATTGTGAAATCAACGAAATGACTGAGAGTTCGATACACATCTATAAGAATGCATTTGAGCGAGCGCTGAATATTATTTGTCATGAATTGATTCGAATCAAAGCAATAGCTCGAACTGGACTAAAGGATGAGTGATAAAAGTAGAATCTAGGCTAGAGAATGGGGCAGACCTCCTTTGTTGAAATATAAATTGTTCGGAGATTGGAACAGTCAGCGAGCGATGTTCTGTAAGGTAATATCAGCAACTGCAATGCAACAAAAAAATTTTGTTATTGTAAGAACATTAGAAAATGCATGGACACAAGGTCATTAATGGTGAGGTATCATAGAATAATGACGGAAATTGAACGTCATCGTTGAATATTTCAACGAAAATGTAAAAATAAACGATATATAATGATGGAAAAATTCATGATTGTGTGAAAACTGTCCAAAGTCGCTTCAAGATGTGATCGCTGATGTAATCGATTAACGCCCTCACTCATCAAATGTAATCGGCCATGTCTGTAAACTGTTCTCGTTACGTCCTCGAGAGTCAAATGATTCGAATCTTTTCGTTGGCTGGGGATTAGAGAAAAAATATTTTGGCCGTGAAAAAACAGAACTTGGGAACGAGGAAGAAGTTCAGTTTATTAGGAGGACATTCTGAAGCGGATCTGTCCAAAACAGCTACAAAAACCTGCAATTGCACCGTTAGCAGTTGGGTGATCAATTGCCATTATTTATCAATTAAAAGCACTCTTGTGGAATTGATTATTTTGAATAAATGCCTCGGAAATGGGATTTGACAGCATACTTGAACTGGTCCATTGCAGTAGATTGTAAGGTTTCGATTAGGTTAAGTCTAGCCGATGCTCTCATGATACCTAGTATTGGAATGTTCGAGCTATGGAAAGAGTGTATTTAGCATAAAAGTAGGATCACATGCTAAGCAATGGGTTTGTGGAAGCAAAAATTACGCTCGGATCATGCAAATAGTTGCGTTTAACTTTTATGATTCTA